TACCGCTGTAAAAAAAAAAAGATTTTCTCCTTTTAATGTATTATAGATGTGCTAGTGAAACATGAAATATCTCTGGAAACGACTTTGCTGAATTTGCGCTACAATCACTGCGGTTTCGTCTCTCAGTCAAAAAAGCACCTCATTTTGGTATTGAGATAATAACGAGCTGATATCCCGCTCAATACAGAACCGGAACAGGCTGATGGCGATTTTTTTGAAGCTTCTTAGGGCTACTACGATTCCGTTTCTCGTCAAAAAAGCACTTTATTTTGGTCTAGAAATAATAAAGAGCTAATACTTCGCTCAGTATAAACCGGGGACGATCTGATGGTGCTCAATATTACCCAAGAAATGTCAAGAATGCGAAGATCATCTGCCTGGGATGTACAGAGTGATACAAATACGATTAGCACAAGAATGTAGTCGGTGGAGAAAAGTTGCTAGATGCAAAAAAGATGAAAATTAGGCTGTGCGCTGTGAATTAATTTACAAAATTTCAACGAACAAAATGGTGGAGGTAGTCTTTTAAAATTAAAAACCTCCAAAAAAATTTTACTTAATTTTCACTATTTTTCACTTGTCTTTAATTCACCATGCTGCATTTGCTAACACTTCTATTGCATCACACTGACGAGATACGGAAAAAGTAACAAGTGCTGGTCCAGTTGCAGCGCTGAATGGGGATGTATGCGACTTGATGAACCGAAACATTCCAATTCGGATTTTATTTTTTACTTTTACTTTTAACTTTGTTGCAACCTTTTTCATAACCATAAAATATTTGAATTTAAATTGAAGCAATCTGTATTGCTAATTACTGTTACACCAACGTCTTTCCAATAAACCAGACCAAAGTTAAGAATAAATTCAAGAAATACCACTGGGCGCAGCGGTTCTACTTTTCTCGCCTTCTTCCGGTGCTGGTGTCGTCGTTCGACGTGCTTCCTTCCGGCGAACCATCGTTATAAGTGCTTGAACAATATTAGTACTGCTCACTGAACACGAAAATAAAATATGCTGAAAAAGTCATTTTTCGGAAGTCGTCAACATCAATTCACCAGGCACAAAATTACGAAAACTATTTGATACGTGTGAAAAAAATAAACAGCAACGCGCACCAGATTAGCCGGTGCAATCATGCGTTTTGCGCAATTCAGCCCATCGAACGATTGCCTATTAATGATTTTCACTGCTTTTTAC